CAAAACAAAGCAAAAACAGCACTCTGAAAGAGGGTGGTTCTCGTTTTTGCAAAAGGCAAACTCTGAATCAGAAATCTCAGAACCCGGAGGTTAGAGGGTCTCAATCATGGTGACTGGGGTCCCTAGAAATGCTCTGTTTTCCTCTCTAAAGTCATCCTTTGATTGACAGTTTCCCACATAGTTATCCTGGGAGGCTCCACTTCCTGGATGTCATGGCTAGTTCTGGAGATTTCAGGGGAAAGAAAAATCTTTAGTCAGGAAGTCTAGTATTCTCATCTCCTAGGTAAAGAACCGAGATGTGGACCAAGGCCCTCTATGTCATCTTGCTATTTAGTAACAGAATCAACACAGGACTCCAGGCCTCTCTGACTCTAAAACTCTTCCCTTGAATCATGAGCTCATTTTCCTCTAAACACTGTACCATAGCTTATTTTTCTTAACATAAGTGTGAACTTTTCCCCCAAATGAATGCCACCTATATCTATACAAAGCTTTTTAAAGATGAGCATAGGATGTGCAACGGACTCAGATTTAGCTTGATGGTCTACTATGGAATGGAGTTCTCTGACTTGCCTTATTAGAATACTTACCAACTGAACTAACAAGTTAGCCACATTGGAAAGCAGACTGCCTTATGGTAAAGAAGGTCAAGAATTCATAGCTTTCCAATAAAGGAAAATTCCAGGACAAAAATAAGACAGATTCAAGGGTATTTTTATCCACTATAAGACATTATGGAGCCCAGTCTTTTTGGATGCTCTCCTTCCTGGACCTGGGGGAAACAGGGAGGATCTTGGACTTCCTATAAGGTAGGGAACCCTGACTGTTCCTTGGACTGGTGAGGGAGGGAGAGGGAAAGTGGAGGAGGGGAGGGAAGTGGGAGGAGGGAAGGACGTGGAAATTTTCAATAAAAAAAATTAATTAATTAAAAAAATAAAAATGAAAAGACATTATGGGGACCAGCAAAATGGCTCCCTGGGTGGTAAAAGCACTGATGACTAAAGTTTACAACCCAGAAACCACATGGAAAGAGAAAACCAATTCCCACAAGATGTCCTCTGACTTCCATGCTCTAGCACTCTCTCTTTCCCTCTCTCTCTCTCTCTCTCTGTGTCTCTGTCTATGTATCTCTCTGTCTCTGTCTCTCTCTGTCTGTCTCTCTCTCTCTCTCTCTCTCTCTCACACACACACACACACACACACACACTGAATCAATGCTTAAAAAGATATCATAGGACTTCATAGAAGAACAGGTTATCTTCCCAGTTTTCAATGTAACTAATTGCAATTAAGTAGTTACTAAAGCTTTTACTTTTAAGTTGCAGAGATGCTTCCTACCTTACTATGATGGCTAAAAATAATAATGATGGACATCTCTGTCTATATCTTTTTAAAATAGCGGCAAGTCATCCTGAAAAAATGCTAAATTCCATACCAGCTTAATATTTAGAAGTCAGTATTTAGAGGTTCTTCTCTCTGCAGAAAGAACTGTCTCGTAAAGGTCAGAAACAAAGATGGTCTGATTTAACTAGGTAGAGAGCTACCCAAGAAAATTAGCTTAGTCTCTCTCAACCCTTACATATTTCCTAGTTCCCTTGCCTTATTCTGTTATTTGGGGAGGACAACTTTCCTGTAGAGTTGGCCATTAAACCAATATTAGTTAGATGGCTGGCAATTTTCACCTAGTGTCATACCTGAACCATGCGCAACCCTGAATTGAAGTTTTCATCACTACACTCTTATTTTTTCAGTTCTATACACATTGGTTCCTAACATCACCATTCCTATTGTGAGATAACTGATATAAGTGAGCCATCACACAGTTGTTTTAGGCTCAGTGAAGCACACCTCCTTGGGAATTTTCTTCATTTTACAATAGTTAGTACAAATGATTAATTTTAGGTTTAAAGTTGGAGCTTCTGGGGAAAAAATCAGAGAAATAATTAGCAAAGAATTATCTGTGATCAGGCTGGTATTGTGATCCATGGGGAATCCTTAACCCAAAGGGGCACATGGTCCTGTACAAAGAAAATGTGAAACACTCTTCCTTCACTATTACTCATCAGAAATGCCTACAGATTCTGAAGATCAGAAGTAAAAAGTACCACAATGTTGTTAGAAAGAAGAACGAGAAAATCCAAGAACCTTTGGACCTCCTTCTTCCCACCACTAGTTTCTCCATATGCAAGTGGCCACTCCACCTATGGGCTCTACAATGTCCCACCCACAGTGCTAATAACATTTACCACACACTAAAAGTGTCAGTCATTACCCTTTGCTTCTTTTCTTTCAGATGACCACACAATAGTCCCCTGATCCAAAGTAAGAGTTGTGTCCAGATACCTGTTTGTTGTTTTTCTTGGTCACAGTGTTTAGAAGGTTATAGGCTTCAAAAAATGTATAAAAATCAAAGAAAACGTACTCAAAAGTCTCGACTGAGGAATCAGTTTCAATGAGGGAGAAACAATGTCATTGGAAAGCTCTATTATATTCATTAACAGTGCAGTCCTATCATTTTTCCACTCCAATGACTCATTCTGAACATGGTGTCAGGAACAATACAGGGGCAAAAAACAATTAATGGGGGAACAAAACAATCAGTTGAACCGTCTGGGACTTGAGTGATGTATAGATCAAATGTCTTAAATTTGCTAAGCTGCCTCTCATTTGGCCAGAATGGATGACTCTTGGCTGCACTGTACCAAGAACAATTGTCCCTCATATATCCCCAATCAGCTGCCTTTTAATGACTAGTCAAAAGTGACAATGTAAAAGATGCTGTGACTTTCACTGTACTTGGCCAATTTTGGACCATCTCCCACTGGTTTGCCCTTGGAATAGGGGAGCTCATAAACACCTTGTACAGCTGGCTACATTCACTGTTTCCTGCCTCTATACCACAAGACCTGTGAGTTACAAGAGGAAGAAAGGAGATGACTGAGGTAACCTTATGTTCTTACATTGGTTTTATAGACACCTCAACACCTTGGCTTACATCAACTCAGTCTCTTACATCCCAGAGGTCAAATGCCCTTTCCATCGTTCCAAACCAGCACCAGGGTAGGCTACCCTACAAAGACATTTGGAAAGAGTCCAGGCACTTGACAGACTTAGCAACCACATGTGGCCTATTTCTATTCCAGATGGCTGCCTCCTCATCTGAGCTCATATTATGGTTGTTGCTGCTTTGAAAATGCAATGGATTTGAATTTAAATTTAAATCCCAAAGCTACAAGAAAGTTATCTTTTTCCCCTTCACCTTAATGTCCTGTGTCTTGTTTTTGGCATGATTGTAAGAAAGATATGCCGTTATTATGAAAAATGGGTTTCTGAAACAGGAGAGCATTTAGTACATATTAGTGATTGCTTTATAACTGGTTATTAGTATCAGCATCATTAACGGAAAGGAACAGAGAATTGGGGGAGCCCAGGAAGGTTTGTTTTCTCTTGAAGTAACACTGTGGAGCTCACAAGAAGCACTCTTTGAAAGCAACTCCTCAGCACCACTCCAGCCCTGCCCAGTGTCTCTCCAATCATCACAGTTTCAGCCCAAGAGCTTAATTTCTGGTGATCTTCAGCAATGAAACCATGCAGATATGTCTTCCAGACATTCTTTTCCTCTCCCCATCTTCCTCCTCTGGCCTCTAGCAGAATACATGTGGCTGTCTTCTGCTTCTTTTGTAACAACCTGCACTCCTTAGTCAAGTGAATGATAAACTCCCCAGGAATAGGAAGTACATCTATTACAGATTGTACAGCCTAGCCTCAAAGCTGTAGAACTGAGGACCTCAAAATAATTTAATAGTTGTGTAAAACAACCTTCTCTTTACAATCCATAGCCAGCCTGATTTTGTGTGCCTCCTCTATAAAATAGAGCAAGCTGCCACCTGGACACGACTTTCAAACAAGAATTTCCTTGTCTTGGTGTTGTCTCTTTTGTTAACTTCCACAACTTGCTTTTTTTTTTTTTGGCCCAAACTGTAAGTTAAGTGGAAATGTAAAACGTTTATGCTGTGCATGGAGAGGAAATTCATGGCACTGTGCCTGTTCTGTAGGCTCAGTTTTCACCTCTGCACCAACGTTCGTACACCTCTCCATTATGACTTTGTTTAGAAGAAAACAAAGCATTCAACATATTTCCCCCTCTGCCCTGTTTTACATCTGTCTTCTGGTTTAGAACACACTCTTTCCTGCCACCTTTTTGCCAAACTAATGCCCACTCATTTTCAAATCATCTCTTCCATCCTGCTTCTTTGCAGAAATACTGTCTGAACCCCTGTGGTATGCCGGATCTCTTGCTCCTCGGTACCTTCTGTTTGATGATGTCAATACTAATAACTATAGATCAGTCACTAACACGTACTAAATGCTCTCCATATTTCAGGCACCCATTATCATAAGCAGCATCTGATGAGGTTTGTTCCTGGTTGCCTATCTTTTACTAGTGAGTAAATCAAGTACCAATAGATATTGTTTTGGTGAAGCTCATATGACAATGTGACAGCCCAAATTATCACCCCAGCTGACGCCAGAGATCATGTTCATGATGACATCATTCAGCCTTCTATAAAAGTCACCAGGTTGGTAAGTAATTTAATCCCAAGAGACAGGCAGGTCCATGAAGACAGAGATGGACTCATTTTGTTCAATATTATGCTTTTCGGACCCAGGAGTCATCCTGCAGAAACCACTAAGGAAGCAAAAATTCAAGGACTAAAGGGGGAAAAAAAGTTGGGTACTTCTAGAACGTTCACTATCCATAGAAGATATTTAAAGTGTAATTTGACCATAGCGATATTATAAAGCTCCCCTTTCTACCATCTAAGTGACCAAACAAATTTAACCATTCACAACTAGAAAGGATGAGATGGGAAACCACAGAACCCAGCACCGTTGTTTGGAAGCAGAAAATCACAGGGTGAGCAAAGATATCCTTAGGCCATGTATCACTTCCGCTTAGACTAGGTATTACTCCGCTCAGACTGGGAGCGGCCACTCACCTCTTTCACAGGTTCTTCCCCAGTAGCCAGTGCCAGTGCAATCGCAAATGAAGCGGTTCCAGCCGTCCTTGCACACCGCATTGTTCTTGCAGGGGTAGCTGTCACACTGCTTGGCGCTCATTCGTGAACAGGAAGACTTGACGCCTGCCGCATTCTGCATTTCCGCCAGCTGCCGGATGTTCTTGCTGCGCCCGTCAATGAATAGGTCACGGATGCAGCCCACATAGCCATAGTTGAGCATGGCAGTCCAGAGTTCCGTGGGCAGAATAAGGCCAGCTCGGTTCTCTGGCAGCCCGCCCAGATACATGTCGCCCTCCAGGTCCAAGATTTCACTCTCACCACTGGCGGTGAACGGCGTGCGCCTGCTGTTCACAGATATGGTACCTGGAGTGGGAGACAGGCGCAGAGTGAGTTAAAGTCCTTCTTGCACCTCAGGTGAGCTTCTAGAGCTGCTTACAGAAAAGCAGCTCTGCAGGTGTGTGGAGAAATGAGCACTGCCTCGTGGAAGAGAGCACTGCAATCAGAAATATGACTGTAAGCTGGCGGGAAGGACCATCCGGAAGCTAGGATAACCTGGGCCATAGGATGACTCAGAAAGAAACCCAGTGAGTATTTCCAGTCCATCTCTTCTCTCTAACCATATTCACCAAGAGATAAGATATGCAACAGGGCAAGAAAAGTTTAAATCCAAGCTCAGCCAACTACCAGCTTTACAGTCTTGAAGAGGAGACTCCTTTCATTTCCCAAAGGGATAAATAATTGCCCTCAACTAACAGGCGGCTGTGATGATCAAAGAAATGCATATGCATAGAGTGCTTGCAACAAAGCCTGGGGCAGGAGGTACTTTGTGATGCCTATAGCCTCTTCAAGGGTCCACAATTCCCCCAAAGGAGGAGGCATTCTCTTTCCTGTTCTATCCATGAATATCCTGTAGACAAGAAATTGATTGCCCAATCCATCAATCAAAATTATGAGCATTGCCTTTAACTGTGTTTTTGTTATTCTTGCTTTTGGCTGGTGTGTTTATTTTGATTTTAGACAGACTCACTATGTAGCCCAACCTGGCCTGGTACTTGCTATGAAAACTAAACTGGGTTTGAACTTACAGCCATCCTCCTGCCTCTGCTTCCTGCGTGCTGAAATTCCAAGTGTGAGCCGCAACACTTGGATAGAATGCATTTCTTCATGCATTATTAAATACACAAAGAACACTCTTCTTTTTCTGGTAATAGTTTCAGGCACAGTGCTAGGCTTCTCAGGCATAGTCTTCCTCCTACGGGGCTGATTTTGCAGAGCCCAGAGTCATAAAATGAGCAGGTAATGTAGCTAATAGCAGGGGGTATAAAAATAGCCAAATGAATGGCATGAGATTAGCTCGTAGGATCTACTTTAAAATGTATAGTGAGTGGAGGCATCACTACATGAAGAACAATTGAGCCAGAAAGTTGCAAAAGATCCAGCCCTGCAAAATTCAAGGGAAAGAGTATGCCTGCCACAGAGAGTGGTACTTAACAAAACCCTGAAGGGACTGTGAGGTCGTTCACTGGGGAAAAGTTTCTATGGATCAAACCTGCCAACCTGAGTCTGATCCCTGGAATCCAGGAGAAGGTGGAAGGAAAGAATCAAGTCCACAAAAAGTGTCCTCTGACATCCATACGCACTCAGTAGCGCACGCGCGCGCGCGCGCGCGCACACACACACACACACACACACACACACACACACACAGCTATGATGATGATGATGACCTGATGACATGAAGAAGTTTGCTCACAAACCAAGAGGCAAGAAGTGTTGAGAAAAGATCAGATCAAGAGCCGTAGGTTAAGTCCCAGGAGGGTCAGATAAGGGGTTCTGTCAAATGAGATTCTAGAAGCTACAACCTAGTGACTGGCCTGGGAAAACAAAAGTACACCTATATTCCATGTACTTCCACCCTGTGCTGGCCCCTCAGCACCTTGCAGCTCTGTTTCCTGAACTGAAAAATTAGGAGCTATAAGCATGGTGGTATCTGAGCATCCTGCCAGGTTTTTGTTTTTTTTTTTTTTTTTTTTTTTAAGTTTTATTCTTGATCTGCTTTGTAGGTGCTGAGGGAAGTGGGCTGTGCCATCCATTAGTTGGCCTCTGCTCTGGCTCTTGTACCCGTTCCCTCAGACAGTAAGCATTGCAAGCTAAGGACTGAAGCAGATCAAAAGAGACCGCAAATATGCTATGTGCTCCAAATTACAACAGGATAGCGGAATGGAAAGAGCATAAAGGGCCCTGGGGTGGAATTGGGGTAGACTGAATGGGCAATCTTTCCTTAACTCTCTTTAGAAGCTGTCTCCTAGAGAAATATGCATTGTTAGTTCTTAGTATTTCAAAAAACCCACATAACAAAACATAATATCCTGGTGATGATTTTAAGCATTTTATGTATTTTAATTTATTTTATTTTCTATGTACAAGTATTTTAAATTCATCTATATGCATCTACATGCATGCCTAGTGCCTCCAGAGATCAGAAGGAGAGCATCAGATCCCTTGGACCTGATGGATAGATGTGAGCCACCCTGTGGATGCTGGGACTCAAACCTGGGTCCTCAGCAAAAGCCATAAATGCTGTTAACAATACTGAGCCATCTCACCTACTCCCTCATTTAATGTATTTAAGAAAAAAAAATTATAGACTGATTTTGTGTTGGATCTGGAGATTCACAGGTGAAGCATTTGACTCTGCCACTGAACCCCGCTGCCATTTAAGTGCATTTTTTTAGACTGCTCCCTCAAAACAATTTTGTGATGTAGGAGTCATTAAAATTCCAGCATGGTTGGCCGAGGGAGCTTTCAAGGCTCCTCCCCTGCCTGAGAAGCAATTGGCTGATGGCTGCTGAAGACTGGAGAATCAAGTTTATGGTTGTGATTTCCCATGCTCCAGTGGATGGTCCCAGGCCCATGCACACATGGTCAGCACTAACATGACTGGGGAAACTATTACATAATTAGTAATAATAATGATTAATAATAGAATAATAAGAGTTATCAGAGAGATAGATTGGTGAGTCCTCAGGAAGCTAGAGGCAGATGGTAGGGACATGGATAAAATTAAAATGCATTGTATACACGTATAAACTATTCAAAGAATTAACAAAATTGCTATTTCAAACAAGGAAGAAGTTGAGATTTGTGTATATTAGCATCTTATCTTACACCACTTTCTTTAGCTCTTCAAACAGGGCTAATGTGATCATCAATTGACAGGGTAATATGGTTTGAATGGGAAATATCCCCTATGTGCTCCTGTGTTTGAGCACTTAGTCCCCAGTTGATCCTCTGTTTGGAAGGTTGTGGAACCTGTAGGGGGCAGATTCTCTCTGGAAGAAGCAGGTAGTTGCTGGAGGCAGGCCTTGAGACTTGCTAGATTGGTCCAACTTCCCATCCACTCTCTGCTTTCTGAGTGTGAATGCCATGTGAAAGGCCAGTCTCTTGTTCCTGCCACCACGTCTCCTTCGTGTAATGCCATGTCTTCCCTGCCATGATTGACTGTAACCGTCAGAATAGTAAACCAAAAAATTCCTTTCTCCCTTGAGTCACTTTAGTCCGGGTGATTTATATTATCAACGGAAAAGTAACTGAGACAAGAGACATGCTGTCGGTTTGCCGAGTATAGACAGTATGAGGAAACTATTTGAAATTTGGGGCTTGGATTGCATACCATAGAAGGCCTGTGCTCGTAATATATGGCCGAACACATTTTACATGCACTTAATGGGTCTTAAGACTCACTGTCTCCACTGAGGAGTTATTCTAAAATGTTTTCTGGGTCATCTTTCAGGCCCGTTATTCTTCTGAATGCTTGAGGAAGAAGGCACATTTGGACATGCTTGTTTTACAATGCCAGAAAAATATCCTCATAAAGAAATGAAGTTTAATAGATCATATTGAAATGTAATGTTACATTACTTTTATGAACTAATTATTGTTTACTTCGTAAATTGTATAGGCTTTGATCAAAATCGTCAGTACTTCAAGAAACTGACTAATGCCACAGCTTCCACATATGAAATTTAAGGCTCTTAAAATCCAAATTTATTTACAGAAGATGGGTCCCCTGGTAGTTCTAAAAATGCAAACCACCATAGCTATACTATTGAACTAACTAGTTTTATGTCAACGTGACATAAGCTAGAGTCATCTGAGAGGAGGGAATCTCAATTCAGAAAATGCTTCCCTAAAATCAGGCTGTAAGCAAACCTGTTCTTACTTTGTGGTTGATAGGGGAGGACCCCACCCATTGTGGATGGTGACATCCCTGAGCATGTGATCCTGAGTTCTATAAAAAAAAAATCGCATTGAACATATCATGAGGAATATGCCAGTAAAGAGCACCTCTCTGATGTGGGACAGCCTTCTGTATATGTGTTGCTTTTATCGCTTGATAAATATAGCTGTTTCAATGACTTAGCAGAGTAAAACCAGGTAGAAAATCTGAACAGGGATATAGAGAGAGAGTAGGTGGAGTCAAAGAGACGCCATGTAGCTGTTCAATAAGAAAGAAGCCAGAATCTTACGGGCAGGCGACAGCCTCATGGCGATACACAGATTAATAGAAATGGATTAATTCAAGATGGAAAAGCTATCTAGGAACACGCCTAGGCTACTGGTCAAACAGTGTTGTAATTAATATAGCTTCTGTGTGATTATTCAGGTCTCAGCGGCTGGGAAATCAAAAAGCAGTCTTCATTTACACCCCTCCATGGTCTCTGTCAGGGCTTCTGCCTCCAGGTTCCTGCCCTATTTGAGTTCCTGTCCTCACTGATATGGAACTGTGAGAGAAATAAATCCTCTCCTCCCCAGGTTGCCATTGTCATGCTGTTTCATCACAGCAACAGTAACCCTAAAAGGACGAAACTAGAAAAAACAATTACTATTGGGAATAACCAAAAATAAACATATGGTATCTTTCTGTGCACTGGCCTTCATGGAACAGCAATGGGTCACTGCTATGTCATAGCAAGGTCATAGTTAATCCCACAAAAAACTCTTCAACCGTAGCATAACTCCACACTTTGCATTAACCACCAGCAGTGTTTTATAGACAATTCTGAGACAGGGGTTTAGTCCTGCCCCAGCTGACATTTCATTGAAAAACTTAAGAAAGACAGGGAGAAATTTAGCCACTAGAGAAATTAATTTTTTTGTGTGTGTTTTTCTTTTTTAAATAAAAAAAAAATCACAAACCATTCATTCTTGCTCAACAAGCACATTTAATTTGGAGCCTCTTGGTTCGGGCCAGATTTCAGACACTCAATAGAGGAACCTACTACCGGTCAGTAAAACATCCAAGGCCACAATCTGCCACTGACTGCATCCTACCCAGACCCCATCCAGATCTTCCTGAGGGCAGTGTCGTTCATCTCTGCCATCCCTCTGGCTGGGGAATTACACACAAAAGCTGCCATTCCATGGAACTTCAGCCATTTCTGCTTAGCTTTTATTTTTTGGGGGGTGGACCTCTCGTTTTGTAATACTGGTCAAAAAAAAACTAGACATAAAACATCTTAGATGAAGACTTTTGTGTGTTTACAGAAATAATCCATACAACTACAGCAAATGAAACTAAAGCCAGTCTTGTGTATGCGGAATCAGGAGATGAGCCTGAAATTCAGATGCAGTACTAGTCCTCTTGGGGAAACACCCTTACTAATAACATAGACTATGACCATCATCGCCAGAGGGTCCTTAGAAAGATAGGCAGCCTGCTTAGGCATTCAAAAGCCCAGATTTTCTTTTGCTGGCTACCCCCACCCCTCTTTTTGTTACTCTTCCAGAGTAGCTGTGTACTGCCTGGGGCTACTTTGTTTGATCTGCAGCCACAGAAACAAACAAAGTCTTTTAAACCAAATGTAAAAGGTTAGGAAGAGGAATGGGGAGTTAGTGAGGTCTGAGCAGAAGAATGAAATATGGGCTTTCACACCAAAAGAAGGCTTTAAATTGAACATGACTTCAGGAAAAATCAATTTGCTGTTTCCTTTCTTGTCATAATTCCTCCCAGCAACATGACTGTTGCCAATTACTGAAGGGCTATCATTGCATACACTCTTGCAACAGAGTAATCACACAATGTAGTATTTGTGATGTCACAGTCAGTTTCCATGGTGATAAGAGAGAGGAGAAGAAAGGGTAGGGGGCTGTCACACCATGACAGTCCCTGTAATAGGAATAGAAATGCTACTTCTAAAGTCACTCATGGTGCTAGGGACTTAGAACTATCATTAAAACCATTGGGTGGAATGATAGAGAAGCTAAGAATGCCAGCTAACCACAAGGTAGGTGTCTTGTCCGTAAATATAATTTTCCAATCCAACAGCCATTAGAGAGAATACTAGGGGACAGCTGAGCATGCAAGTGATTATTATAATAAATATATAAAACCCTGAGGGGAAGGAAGCTACTGCTTTCATCCATTCTCAGTCCTAATTCCTTTTTTACCTGATCTGCCATCCCGCTGAATGTCCACATGGTACCATTCCCCATCATTGGCTTTCTTCTGAGTGGCCTTCACTTTGATGGTGCCTGAGCCCATGTCAAGTAGCAAATACAGGTTGCCATCAAGAAGCTCCACAGCAAAGAAGTCAACTTTTGTGTTCTTTTGGCTCCGGACGTCTTTCCTTTCTTGGGGCTTCCCATGAGTGAAGAGGATCAGGCCATTGGGCTCAGTGGTGCGAAAGTCAAAGGAGATGGAGCCCATACGTTTGGTGTTCCACTTGGGCAAGCTGATGTAAGCCTCTGGGGTCTCAAAGTTGATGGGGTCCAGCGTGGCCACATTCTCACATTTGAACACAACTTCCCCGTAGATTTTCATCTTGGTGTCCCCAATCCGGGCCAAGCGAGACAGCTCCAGACGGATGTCATTATTCTTATAAACAACCTGTCAAAAGCCAAACAAAAGTGCCATGTGAATCAATCTCGCGAACAGTATCAATCCATCACTCCTTGGGCAGCCAGGAAAAGGGTCTGAAGCGTCTTCAGGACATAATGGTCTGAAACAACATGTGAAGCAAAAGACTCATCAAAAAAAGCACCCCAGGAGATGTCTGGGCATATACAAGCACAGAATGAGCTTCTCCACTGCCACTGTCTGTCTTTTCTCTTCCTCCTGGTACCCTGCTTCTGGATGTCACAACGTTATCAATATGAGTTTCTGAGGAAAACTCCAGCGACGCTGTGCTGTACAGGTGTAATATACAAACACATTTACTAAAACATCCTTGGTAAAAGGCCACAAACAAACCTTGATGACCATCAATAATAGACAACACCTCTCTATAATGGAACACAATGCTGCCTTTTAAAATTATGTATTGCCTCTGGTTTTTATGTGAGTCCTTCCAGGTCATTTTGTTAAGCAGAGCTAGATCTAGGACAAACTGATAATTACCTTACCATTTGATGACAATGGAGAGTCACAAATACATAGGTTTATATAAGTATAAAGTATCTTTGAAAATTACTATGAACTATGAAATTTTCAGGATGGTGGATTTGTGAGATTCATACTCAGAACTGGGAGGTTTACATTTTCACAATATCCCCATGTTATGTCTCATTATTCAAAACTATGTTGACGTATTGCCTTTACGGATGATTGACTGGGCCTGCAGAGACAGATCACTGGGTAAAGTGCTTGCCACACAAGTGTAAGGACCTGAGTTTGGATTCTAGAAGCCACTTAAAACTGAATGTGGTAGTGTGTGCCATTAATCCCGAGGCTTCTATGTCAGCATTGGGAGACAGAGGCAGGAGAAACCCCTGAATTCCATGAACTGGGTAACCTGGCATATGTATCAGTCAACAAGAGACTGAGTCTCAACCTAGGTAGAGTTAAAAATTAACACTGAAGGTTGTTCTTTCATCTCTACACATGTCATGGCATAAGCATGTCTTATTTTTACACGCATACGCAAGGTAAACACACACTGAAGATTTTTTTTAAATGATTGAGAGCTCTGAGTGTTGGTTAGGAGGAGAGTGCTGTGGAATATGAGTTTAACATGTGCTACATTCATTCCTGCTGTGGAACATTTGCTTAATAGTGCCAAGATGTGTTGCACTTCTTTAACTCTGTGAAGCTGTGTGGCTGTGCCTATGGAAAACACCTGATTGGTCTAAGAAAGAGCTGAACGGCCAATAGTTAGAGGAGAGAGGAAAAGTAGGTGGGGCTTCCAGGCAGAGAGAATAAATAGAACAGGAGAAAAGAAAGCAGGGGGAGGAGTGGAAAAAGGAGAGGAGGACTCCAGTGGCCAGTCACCCAGCCACACAGCCAGCCAGGAATAAGAAGGAAAGAAAGGAACATAGAAGAGAGAAACGCAAAAGACCAGAGGCAAAAGGTAAATGGGATAATTTGTTAAGAAAAACTGGCTAGAAATAAGCCAGGTTAAGTCTGGGAATTCATATGTAATAATAAGATGCCATGTGTCTATTTGGAAGCTGGCTGGCAGCTCCCAAAGAGAAAAACAAACAAACAAACAAACAAAACCAAAAAAAAAACCAAAACAAAACAACCATAGGAGGGTGTGTGGCTTTATTTTATAATCACACTGAATATGCCCTCGATACAGAGGCAAAGGATGATACCCTAATTTAGACAGTTGAGGACATTTACTTAGATGAGGATTGAAATTTACAAAACAAAGTGGTTTATACAACAGGTTAATTTGTCCCATAAGATGTATATCAGGGATTTCTGTTTCCATGTTCTCCCCGAGGCACAGTTCACTTCCACATGGCCATGGCCACAGTGGGAGGGGAAAATGAGACTATCAACTAAAGATGAAAAAGTCCGTTATGATTTTCCAAACCTTAAACAATCCATAATAACACAGGGATTAATCTAGATTTTCCAAAAATATTTATAATATATTACTCTTATTAGCACTTCTCTCTTTAACCCCTATCCCTTCCTGTGTGTGTGTGTGTGTGTGTATGCGCACATGTTCTTGTGTATAAGTCCAGGTATGTATGTGTCACCACACACGTGGAGGTCAGAAGACAAGCCCAGGCATCAGCCCCCATTTCCCACCGTATTAGAAACAGCACCTCCTCTTTGCTGCTGTTTATCTGGTCTATGAGCTTCCAGAGATTATCCTGTCTTTGTTTCCCCCTCACCCTAGGTGCATGGAGATTACATATGCACACCACTGCTTCCAGTTTTATGTGGGTTCTGGGGGTGTGAACTCAGGTCCTCACACTTACACAGCAAGGATTTTATCTATTGAGTCAGCTCTCTAGCCCCAGACCTGAAATTTCTATGCAGTATGTCTGTATGGTCTTCAGTGTTCCAATTTCTGAGTGACATCACCTCCATACAAGAATGCTGATCATGGCGGATGGAGGGGAAAGGATGGAGAAGGTACGCGACACTGGCAGAGTCTGCTTATTTCCTGTCTATAGATGGGAGTTGAAGAGGAGACTGATTTGTGAGGAAGAAATAATTAAGAGATGTAAATCACTTAGAGACAGCATGGCACACAGGAAGTGCACAAAACTCTCAGCTATTTGGGGGTGATTGTGGAGGTTACTGTTAATCTTATATCATCCTTCGCACACTCCTGTCTAACTTATACTTTCAGTAAAGCAACAAAGCTTCGGGGCCGAAATCAGCCTCACCATCCATTCGATTTCAGCGAGAACGCATTAATTGGATGGATCATTTTCATGCTATAAGGTGTTTCCCTCCTCTAACCTGTCACCAGGCAAGAATCAAGCAGAACTGTTGACTTGAAACAAGTACAGTGGGATCCTCAACTATGACAAAGCATTGGAAATTCTTTGCCTCTTAAGTGACCTCGACCATGGATTCATCTACAGTCAGTATTACTGAAATAGTAATGATTTTTTAACACTTGCCAGTACCTAATACCAGGATCTCTAGTAAAGGGTCATCATCTATCATCCCACCCAGACACCACCCATTTGGCAAACCTGGAGACATTCCTTCACTTCATAGACACGGAAAATAGCTAAGGAACCAGCTCAGAGGCATACAGCTGCTGAAGGCAGAGCAGGCCCGGAATCCAAGCATCACTTCCAGATTCCATGGGCAGCGCTGTGCACATATTTTCTAGCATTGCCATCCACACCCAGGCAGCTCCTTATTGAGGTCATAGAAAGTCATATATGATCAGCTTCCCAGTTCAAAAGCTGAATTTCTTAGTTTAGTTCCACCAGACTGACCAAGAACAAAGAAGACACAGCAGGATCCTCAACTACTCAGATGAATACATAAAAGGAACAATCAGGTTTGACTGGGAGTATCTCCTTTCTTATCCCCACTGTGATGCCCTAGCCTGTGTGATCTCCGAATAGGAATCAAGCTCTGCCTTGCTCTGTGCCTGAATGCAATACCTTTGACTTTTCTCCTTATGGAAGCTATTAGTGAGCAACAATAACTCATCCAAAAGAAAACGAGGAGGCTGGGCCCCCTGAATAATAATGGGAGAGAGAAAACTCAAGCAGCTGTCCTTACAGGAATCCAAAACAAAAAGTGAAGAGACAAAGGCCCGATCTCCAAAATACAAAAGAACTCAAGAAACATCAAAAGAGCAAATAATCCAACTTAAAAAATGGAGTACAGACCTAATAGAGAACCACTTTGGAAATCAGTATGACAATTTCTCAGAAAATTAGAAAACAACCTATGTCAAGACCTAGCATCTCTGTGAGTTTGAGACCAGCCTGGTCTACAAGAGCTAGTTCCAGGACAGGCTCCAAAACCACAGAGAAACCCTGTCTCGAAAAACCAAAAAAAAAAAAAAAAAAAAAAAAAAAAAACTAGCAATATCACTTTTGGTTATATATCTAAAGGATGTTCAGTGATACCACAATGACACGTGCTTAACTATGTTTTTAGCAGCATTATTTATAATAGCTAGAATCTGGAAACAACCTAAAAAACAAATAAAGAAATTGTGGTACATTTACATGATGGAGTACTACACAGCAGAAAAAAATAATGATATCTTGAAATTTGCTGGCAAATGGATGGATCTAGAAAAAAAAAACATATTGATTGAGGTAACCCAGACCCAGAAAGACAAATACATTAGGTACTCACTCATAAGTGGCTTTTAGACATAAAGCAAAGAAAAACCAGCCTACAACTCACAACCCCAGAGAACAACAAAGAGGACCCTAAGAGAGACATAAATGGATCTAATGTACATGGGAAGTAGAAAAAGACAAGACCTCCTGAGTAAACTGAAAGTGTGAGGGTCATGGGACAGGGTAGAAGTAGAGGGTGAAAGAAGGGAACAGAGAAAAATGTATAGCTCAATAAAAACTAAAAAAAAATGAATATGAAGACCAACTCTACCATGGGAAGAATACAGTGCTTGGCCCGGGACTGACAAAAATAAACAAATGCAGATTGCTGAAGAAATAATCAGGAAATTCAGGGGCAGAAAGCAGTTGATGATAACTAGACTTCTTCCAAAGCCTCTTGGTAGGCAAGCTCTCTATTACAACCCCAAAAATTGCTTATCTATGTATGTTGACATTCTTCAGAGGTGGGGAAAAAAAGTCAACATCTTCCTTTGCTGACAGTAAGTACTCTTTCTGAATCTCAATTTTATTTTCTTTTTAATTTATTTTTAAAACAATCTTTTCTCATTTTACATACCAATCCCATTCCCTCTCCCTCCCCTACTTCTACTTCCCCTATTTTCTACCCATTTCACCCACCCCCACCCACTCCTCAGAGAGTTTGACACATCACTTTGAGGTAGGACCAAGGGCCTCTTCCCTGTATCTAGGCTGAGAAAGGTATCCCTCCAAAGGGAATGGGCCCCAAAAAATCAGTTCAAGCTCTAGGAATAAATCCTGGTCCTACTTCCAGTGGCCCCACAGGCTGCCCAAGTCACACAACTGTCA